ACCATTGACCCGGTGCGCAAGTGCTCACGGCTGATGGCGAGTGTGCTGCCGCTGTTTCCTCGTGCGTCTCACCAGAGGCCACCCAAGCGTGGGGGACCCACAAGGGTTTTTGGCCAGGCCACGTCGTGGCATGTCTGGCAGCGGAGTCTCTGGGGGTTTCGGTGCACCAAGTGTTTGGTCTTCTTCGGAAGACGACAGCACGAGCGCCCTGAGCTTGGATGTGAAGGTTTCCCTGAGAGAGTGGCTGAGCTTCTGGTCTCTGCCCCCGATCACGGACGCAAGCTGGCGAGCACCCAGGTTGGAGACGAGGCCAACCCTCTGTTCTTTTGTCTGGCCTGCGGAGCGCACTCGCAGCGCAAGATTCGCAGTTTGGCCACCCGCTGCCAGCCTGGCAGCATTCGCAGCGGTGGCCAAGTTTTGTCTCGGCTGCGCAGAGGGCTTCATCCTTTGCGCTGCGCTGCAGTCTCTTGTGCTGAACCTGAAGAACAGGTGGCGAGGCAGGAGGCGGATGTTGTTTTGCAGATGGCGCGCCGCGGCGAAGTGGCGGCCTCCGCAGCCCTGCTGCCATGGTTGAATGCCATTCGAGCCCGCATAGCGGCGCGAGAGGCTGCAGGCAGTGCGCTGTGAACTGGCGCACTGTCATAACTGGTCGGTCAACGGCGACCAAACAAAACAAAGGAACTTCTTTTGTTCTTAGAACATATGTTTGGCGTTTCAAGAGAATTAGGCCTGTAGGAATGCACTGGTATTCAAGCAGTAGCGATGCGTTACTGCTTTTGCTCTTAGAACATATATTGTTGGGTTCCAAGAGGGTTTCGTCTTAGGCCTGTAGGAATGCCCTGAGATTCAAGCAGTGGCGATGCGTCCCCGCCTGCCTGTAGGTCCACCAAACTACGTTTTAAAAACAGCTTGTGAGCTGCGCCAGAATTCCAGGCTGATACCGTCTCGTTTGAGCACGTTGGTTTATGTTCAAAGAACACTGCTTTTGTTCCCAGAACATACATTTGGGGTTTCAAGATCGTGTCATGGTAGGCCCTGTAGGACTGCCAGGACGGTCGGCCCCTGCTCAACCTCCTGGCGTTGCAATTTTTGTGGCGCTGGGCGTTTCGGCTTCATTTCGGGCTCCGGGCCCTCCCCAGATCGATGCGGCTCGAAAGAGGACGCAGGAAGATGGGGTCTGGGGCTCCGTTTTTTTTTTTTTTTTTTTTTTTTTTTTGCTGCGATGTTGCAAGTTGTGTTGCAACGTCGGATCTCAGGGGGGGCGACAGCGGCGGCCGCGGCGGCGGGCGGCGAACGTCTGAGGAGGGAAAGGAGTGCCCATGCCGCTGCCGTTCTCTCGTCCTCTCCTCCTTTGGAGACCTGGGAGGCCCTCGCCGCCTCCTGCTCCGCCTCCTCCGCCTCCTCCTCCTCCTCCTCCTCCTCCTCCTCCTCCTCTTACCCCTCCTCCTCTTCCTCCTCTTCCTCCTCTTCCTCCTCCTCCTCCTCCTCCTCCTCCTCCTCCTCCTCCTCCTCCTCCTCCTCCCCCGTCGTCAGGGCCAGATTCGCCTCCCAGCTTGCTTATCGGCCCACTCAAGAGTGTTCTGAGAACCTTCTGTGGTCTGCACGAACTGTTTTCAAAACATCTCAGGTCCGCACGAACTGTCTCGTTTTAACTCATCGGGTATACGTTCGAAGAACATGGTGTTTGTTTATTGAACATTTTTGGGGTTCTAAGAGCATGTCGTGGTAGGCCGATCGGAATGCTGGTACGGTCGGCCCCTGCCCAACATCCTGACGTTGCAATTTTTGCACAGGGCCCAGGACCTTCACATATCGATCGGGCTCGGAAAATGACGCAGAAAGATTGGATCTGGGGCTCCGGTCGTAATTTTTCGATGTTGCAATTTTTGGGCAAAGTCGGATCTCAGGGGCAGCGGTGGCGGCGACAGCGGCGGCGACCGCGGCTTTGGGGGCCTCCTGGGAGGCCTTCGTCGCCACCGCTAGATTCGCCTCCAGCTTCTGGTCAGAACGCACCCCGGGAGAGGTCTGGGGAGCAGCAGTATTGGCACCTTTTGGCTTTCCCAAACGGACCGCGGCGACGGCTGCGACGACGGCGACGGCGACAGCCGCGACGGCCGCTGCAAGGGCCAGCGACCTCGGCGGCGGCGGCGGCGGCCGTGAGGTCGAACGCGGCCGCGGCGGAGGCGACGAGGATGGGCGACGACGGCGGCGGCGGCGGCAGCGGCGAGGTGGGAGGTGGTGGACGGGGGACATGTGAAACAGTGTGGAGCAGGGAGGAGGATTGTGATCGCTTTCGTTTTCATTGTTTTGCCGATCGGCGCGGGCCCTCGCACCCCCTCCCCCCCCACCCCATGGAGCAGATCTTGGCTGTTTTGGGCGCCTGTTTCAAGCAGGCGGAGTCTCCGCCATAGGTCGCACTGCTGCAAACAGTCGCAGTAAGCAGAGGTCTGGAGCCATTAGCCCCCTTCCGCCCACTGTCGAAACGCCGAGTATGAAAACGTTCACATTAGGAGGAGGAGGAGGAGTTTAGGAGGAGGAGGAGAGGAGGAGGAGGAGGAGGAGGGAGGAGGGAGGAGGGAGGGAGGGAGGGGAGGGAGGGGAGGGAGGGAGGGAGGGAGGGAGGAGGAGGAGGAGGAGGAGGAGGAGAGAGAGAGGGAGGGAGGGAGGGAGGGAGGGAGGAGGGGGAGGGAGGGGAGGGAGGGAGGGAGGAGGAGGGGAGGGGAGGGGGGAGGGAGGGAGGGAGGGAGGGAGGAGGGAGGGAGGAGGAGGAGGAGGAGGAGGAGGAGGAGGAGGAGGAGGAGGAGGCCCGACTGCTCCCACCCTCCATCCCCCCCAAAAACATAAGAACCAAGTGTGGTACAACCTCATATTGGCATTGGAACGCGTTCCCACCTCGCAAACGGAAGGAACTCGCGCGCGGTCCCGCTTCCAACGACTTCGGCGATAAGAAACGATACGCGGCCCGCGCAGGGTCGGGAGCGGCAGCACCTCCGATGGGCGCGGCGAACCCGGAACATGCGCCGCGCTCACACACTACTGTCATTTGTTTCACTTCCGAATTGCACGGCGGTTCGGCGAGGTCGCCATTTCGCCCGCTCTTTTGCAGCCCCACGGCCGCTGTCGCTGCCACGTGCTTCTGCGAACGAACCGCGTGCCGCTCCCGCGCTGGAGCGCCGCTTCCGAGCCAGATGCGCACAGAGCTAGTTACGGCGAGAGCGACATCGCCCACTCGATGGCGCGCTCCAGAGTTTGCGAGTGGCACAACTGCGCCGCGCCTTTTGCATGCGAAATCTGCGCAGCGCCGAGGCGAACGCTCCATTTTCGCCTGCTCGCGAGTCGGCGGACATGCGTGCGAATGGTGTGCGCCGCGCCCGTGCGGGAATTCATTCCGGTAGGAAGATACGCGCGACGCCGTGGCGAGAGCGACTCTTCCCGTTCGCGCGGGTCGTGCGCCCCGTCCATTTCTCGCCGCGCAGTTTGCAAAACGGACGGCATAATGTCCATATTGGAACGAAGTGCGTAGCTTTTTTGTTCGTGGGATAGGAGGGTCCAAAGTCGGTCCCCATCCCTCGGTAGCAATCACGGGAGCCTAATCTATCCTCTTATATCTGTCTTTAGCGTTGGTTAGCGCCTGGGAGTGGATGAGATAGCGCCGATT